CCCGGGTATTCTTTGACGGGTATTCTTCCACGGTCTAAAAAGAGCGAAGTCGGCGCTTTTTCATTCAAAGAAAAACTGAAAACGTCGGAAGGAACAAACGGATTTCTTATCCAATCCAACTGTTCAGTGTTAAACAAAGGAAATATTTTCAAAATTTTTCTTCTGTTATTAAATGTTTGATTATTAACGAAGTGACTGCATTTCCACAAAGTAGCGACGAAGGGATACTTCCTGCATTTCTTTCTCTTACCTGTCTCTCTCATAATAATTTTCTTTTTCATTGCATATAGTTGTCAGTCGGTGTGTAAGGTATTTTCTCCTTCTTCATCACCTGTCTTTATGGTGTAACTGGAAAGTACGTCTAGTTCGCAATCCGGAGGCGCGCAGTTCTGATCTTGGTGATAACCAACGCATAATATTAATGTCTCTTGCTCCGAAATAAATTACCTTATGATCTCTGCAGATGTAAAAATGTTTGTGTTGTGTAGCCTTTCATTGACTCATTGACTCTTTCATTGGGACTCAAATTGACAGTATGAAAGTAAATATATCAAACAAAATATTGCAACAATTAATATTTTGCAGATATTTTCCAAAAGTTTCGTGTGTTGCTGTTTCGAAACAGGAAGAACAATAACAACTAGATTTCATAATTGGAACGCAACGATTCACAGTTACCTCACTTCCTATTAAGAAGTAAACATTCATTGTCTGCTTTCATAGATGAACAAAATCGTTTGAAAATTTGCTTTTCATCGCTTTGGCTTTTCGTTCATTTTAATAAAATTAACCTTTGAAATTACTCAATACTTTACTTAGTTGATCAATACTTTACTTAGTTTCTTAGGTTAACGTATAAGGTATTTTATGTTAACTAACTATTATTATGATGATTTCAACGTTTACTGTAACTTCTCTTTTCCGTAATCCTCTCCAAAATGCAAGTTAGTTGTTTTAAACTGAAGGTTTGAATGTTTAGATTAGAGTTTCTGACAGCATCGTTTGGCTATTACTTATTATCGTCATCTCTGCCTAAGCTGTATTCCGGCTTTAGCTTCTTGTTAGCTCATGTTCTAAAACTCGCACCGTAAACAATATGAAGATGCTTAAGTAGTGTATATTATGTGCACTCTCAGACCACATTATATACATTTGAAAGTTCGTCTGTCGCACAAGACTAAGCGATAACTCGCTAAAAGTCAAATAGGGTCAGCAAGACTTTGACTCAAGCTTCTAGATACAGTAGATCTCTATAGCCGTCTTTATGATATGTACGTCTCGGTGTAAAAAACAGCGATTAAATACTTATACTATATTTAGATCGATTTCGTTCACCCTAAAGTTATAACTATTTGATTGATCCTATGATAGATGCTGCTCGATTGGAACAAATATCGACACATTCAACCACGATTATGTGAACGTATTCAAATACGAAGTTGATGCGGCAAATAAAATCTGCCAATTGTACGCCCTAAGAATTTTTTGTAGCATGAAAATTGATCTATTATTTTCTGTCTGTTGTCGTCCTGGGTACCTGCTCGCTTCTAAGATTTTATGTATATACTAACTACGAGCAAAATATTCCTGAGCCACTTTGTCATCCAACTGAATTCAATGTTTCGATTAACTGTAAGTCACTGGCGTGATTCAAAGGCCCTGCAGTCTGTACTGATGGGTCAAAAGAAGAATGTGGCAACCAGCAGAGGATATTGCGTACTACATGGAAGTCAGATCATAAAGATCTGGGAAAGAAAGTTCAGGCAGCATAATGCAGTTTTTCAAGCTGAATTGGTTGCATTAAATCTGCACTTGTCTATGCATTGACTAATGATTATTTCAATATTATTATTTCAACTTTGCCTATAGCTCTCAGACAATTTAAGTCACGTAAAGTGCCACTAGTCAGGAGCACGACGAATACCTCGTCAGTCGCATTTCTGTTTTTGAATATAAGAAAAATTCCTCAAAATATTACTTTTCTCCTTAAAATAACTGCATGAAAGTATACATATTTTCCACCCTAATTTTGAGCAGGTAACTATGCAGAAATTAACGCAGGGTGAAACATGTTTTTTACTTTCTTCTCATAATACTTACCTCTGTTTTGGGAAAAGATATTTTAACGACATTTCAAAGTGAGATATGATTTAAAGAAATTCTTTAACTTACCCAAGAAAGCGCCATATTAGGTGATCTTGAAAATCACTTAAGTATAGAGGCTGTTAGCACATTTTTTACACGATTTTCATTAAATTTACAGAAATATTTCATCTAAACTTTTGTATTTTAAATGTTCCAATTGATAACCCTTACTTTTCACTATCTTTCCTCACTGTAATTTCCAAGGTAATAAAACCTTTTTTGTACCGAAAGAAGTATTTTATCCCATACCTCTTGGAATAGCTTTCCCTAGTCCAAGGCGAGTTGTAAGTCGACTTCTGGACAATTCGCTTTTTAAAAGTCCAAAAGCGCAAACCTCGTAGTTGATATATCAGGAGATTTAGTAGGAATATTACTGAAGAGTCTGGCCTTGATCCCAGTTTCTTGTTCCATTTTTTCTAGGAAATTAACAATGAATTTTGACGTACGGCTGCTTTGTCTTGATGCAGTTCTACTGATTGATGGCATTGTGGATAAAGAGAAGGTATTTCATATTTGAAAATTGGGTATAAAATGTATTCCTGATAATATGTGGAGCTTGGCCCTAGGTTTCTGCAGTCTGTTTAATTATTATTTGTCGTTATATCAAAAACCAGCAACAATCATAAATTCCTTTATTTTCCAAGCAAGCGATTTTTTATATCAAAGAAAAATCGTCTAAAAATGTGCGAACAAGCTCTGTATATGTTCTAAATAGCCTATATAATAATCACTAATTAAGGTATTAAGAAATGTTATTATTTGACTTTTGAAAGGCAGCTAAATATGAGCAATCAGTTATAACTCTTAATATTGACAATATGAAACAGCGTTCAGTTATTGAATTCTTGACAAAATGAAGCAGGCATTGACAAGCATTCATGAACTCGTGATTGCAGTTTATGATGATAACAGCACAATCTTGCATCATCATTTAACCGTGATTTGTTATGCTTAGACAGCAGAAAAGGCCATTGGAAAATGATCCCAGACCAGTAAAGTGCAGAAGTGGCCACCGAAGACCTGTGCTCTGAAATCGAAGAATATAATAGATGTGTGACATTTTCTTAACTTATTAAAGAAATAGATATCATTGCCGGATCAGTGGAAAAAGTTCTTTATAAAATGTGAAGATATCAAAAACCGTAGCCAATAGTAATGTTGAAACCAGAAAAAACATAAGATCAATGTTCGAGAGAGCTTCTTTCCTTGATAAATGCCAATAAAAATGTTATTCAAGGTTAGTGACAAAAGATGAACCGTCGCTTCACCCAAAAATGAAAGCATGGACTTCCCCAAACTTGTAAGTTCAGAAACCGGTAATTCGCTGGAAAGGTAATGGGAACCGTTTTGGGGGATGAACATGGACTAATGCTTATTAATTATATGGCATATGATACCATTTTAAATGGCATTTATTATGGTAATATGTTGTCGCAACTTCAACAAGCCATAATGGCCTTCTCGTTCGTTTGAAGTAATTACTGATAAGTGTAAACTACGGTTGAATTCGCTGAATTCAGGCCTCGATCTGTAGACTATTTCTGAGGAATCAAGGAGTACCAAGACGTGAATAATAATTGCTTATGCCATGAACTTTTTATCCTTTTAAGAATATATTGTAACTAATAATAATAACAATAATAACAGCTACCAGTTAAAAAGAATACTGTAGAACGTTATAAGCAAAAATTCTGTAATTTGGTTTGGTATATTTTGAAGTTTCCTGGACTATTTAAAAGTCATTCATATTTTTCGATTATTCTTGCTCAAACTATTTTATCAACGATGATAATCGAGGATCAGATGCAGAAATGGATGTGATGTTATAATAGAGATAAGAAATATCCTCCAAGAAAAGAAAAGAAATGCATTAAAATCTAACGGTCGTAGAAAACAAAATAAATGATTATTCAAAATAGGGCTGTGATTTACACATCATCAGAATGTTATAAATTAAAGAGAAGTTACCTTTAGGCATTCAAAGAAGCACTTTTAAAATAGAAATAAGCAGTGAGTCAAATATAATGAATAAAATAGAAAACAATAGTACAACATTTTAGTAATAAAAATTTTGAATTCTATGTAAATCAGAAAAATTACAATAGCGCAGAAATATTATACCTCTTCCATTTAATTTGAAGATCCTTAAAATTTTTTGTATCGTAAATACATGATATATCCGTTAAGAAACATCTACTTTTAATCGTAATAATAATAAAAATTTAATAATATTATTGACAATATTAATTAACAGTGTTAATATTATTAATATGACGTTGCTTTTTTATATTTAAATATTATAGATTTTTATAGGATTAGTCAACAGATATTTTTAGCATCGAAAAGCAGGAATAGAAATTCGAAATGCAAGCTAAAGAAACCGATTATTTTTGAATATGTATAAAATTAGCATTTAAAAGCAAATTTCATATAAATGTAATAAGAAAAAGAGAAGAAAGAGAAAATTGGAAATAAACGCAGAAATCCACAACATAGTAATCGATAATCCAAGTACGAAAAGAGCACAAACTGTAACGGATTTCAAGAAAAAAAGGGATAATATTAAAAAAAAAAAATACTAGTTGTGTTTTTATGCTTAATTTTCATTAAGACTTATTTTAGAAAAAGTGATTTCGCTTACGACCATGAACTAAAATAACTAAATAAATAAAAACCGAAAAAACAAATAAAATAACAACAAGTAAAATAATAAGTAACTACTAAAAAAGAATCATTACATTCTGATTTGCTTGGTTTAAGTTAAAATATATCTGATTTTTATAAGCAAAGTTTTTGTTTGATAATTAGAGCAATTACGTATCACATTACAAAGCTCGAATTATACTATTTAAGATTTTAATGATATTGATACATGGAATTTCTCATTTTATACTTAGAGAATTAATCCAGAATCTTACAAGAATTCTACACTTTTCTGGAAAAAATGATTGACAGCAACATGTGTATACTATTCAAATGATTTCCAAGCAAAACATGATATACTTAAATTAAATTAAGATTCGGAAGTGAGCGGCTGTTAATCCTCACAGATAATCGGCTGATTTCTTCTTTTGATGCGGTTTCGCACAAAAAAGTCTTCTTCCCCTTCATTGTACTTCCAAGATTTTTCTGTTGAAAAATAAGAAAGCATACTTGATATTAACAATAATTTAATGTCATGGACAGAATTCAAATGATTCTAGTTTCACAGTGGTGGCCAAAACTCTGGAAGTGTTCTGATAATTAAAAAATATTATGTGAGTGCAAGTTAAAAGTGTAATCCTATTCGAAGAGTGTTTACTGAAAAAGAAAACTGTTTTACAGGAATAAATTATCCCTCATAACTGAAGCTACAATTCAAACTGTTCGCTTGCAAGACCATAAATATCTTTCTTTAAATTTATTTGATTTGGGGATCTGCTACAGCTTTGTAGATTTTGCAGATGAATTGACCTATGGAAATTTGAGAAGGGTTTTGAAAATGTGATACAGTAGATTTTCTATAAGGAGGCTAACAGCTAGGGTGTTCAATCCAGACAGCGATGTAAGTCTTAATGAATTTTCATAGTACTGACAATTAAGTAAGAAGTCAAGACGAAGGAAGAGGGTACTGAAAAGTGTTAGCAGCAAAAAAGCTCGCGTTTTCACACGAGTGGATTACTTGAAGGCAGGTACTGGAAAGAGGTTGACGTAATGCAGTGTACTCTCCTAGAGTATTGCATTCAACTCTTTAAATCGAGGTCTGGCAACTGAGGTGGCTTTCCTTTCTGGCAAATAATTTTCTTTTTGAAGAAATGTTTGAATAATTGAGCTCTATGAGCCATAGTTTGTAAAAATGAGCTGACATTGAGGGCATACCGACAACAAAGAGTGTCTTCTTATAACATTGTATAATCTCAAGTTGATGACGCATTTCATATCATTTAATGGGTATCCGGACATAATCCCGACAGCCGAAATACCGACAAGCCAGAATCCCGACAGACGGAATCCCGACAGGGTCGACATCCCGACAAGCCCAAATCCCGACAGGGTCAAAATCCCGATTGTCCAATATCCCGACAGGGTCAAAATACCGACACGGGCGAAATCTCAATAAGGCCTAATGACCCCTTAACATATTTCCACAGCTGCAACCAGTATATGTTTTGATGACTAGCAAATCTGAAGAAAATTACAAAAGATTATTCCAAGATTTAATTGATTTCGCTGAAGAAAATAATATTGAACTGAGAGAATCTAGAATCATTAGTGATCTAGGAAAAGGCAGCTATAAATGCTCCGCGCACTCAAAATGCTGTCGAGGATTGGCACAGAAGATGGGAGACCTTAATTGGACGGGCCCATGTTGGCGTTTATAACATCATAGAAGGATTTCAAAAGAACAGGAGCATGTGGAATACCAAGTTGAAATGCATTCTTTCGCGGAGAACAACAACCAAAACGTAGGAAGGTAGATGATGACAGAGAAAGGAGAATTTGACTGTTGCGGACGATCGTGATAATCGACCTGTGATGGAATATCTTCGGCTATCGCTCACAATGTGTCATTGTAAATATGTCGTTTGCATGTGTAAGTGATGTTTCTTTTTCTTAATAAAAAGAATTTTATAAATCTTCATTTGAAATTTTAACGGTCATTTCAATTTGTTAAAAATTATTTAAGTAATGACATAATTTTTATGATTTTTTTTGATTTAAACTTTTAATTAATAATATGTAATAGTTAGTTAAAAAATTGTATTTTATTAAGCTAAATTGAGTGTTTGTATTTAGATATTAACTTGTCGGGATTTTGGACAGTCGGATTCGACCCTGTCGGGATTCTGACCCTGTCGGGATTCTGGCTTGTCGGGATTTTGATCCTGTCGGGATTCTGGACATTCGGGATTCTGACCCTGTCGGGATTTTGGCTTGTCGGGATTTTGACCCTGTCGGGATTTCGGCTGTCGGGATTATGACCCAGACCCCATTTAATGCTTTAGCCGTATTCATAAGGGTCAGTTTTGTAAGGTTTGTCTCACTACATCTATCCTGCCTGCCTAAGTGACAGTATTACATGAGCATATGCTATGTATGAATATGACCATCATTGGACGCATGACGAAGTAAGAGTACGTTAGGAGAATCATATCAAAGTAGATAACGCTATGTTTCAAATGTTGTTCATTATCCCGCAACAGTATTGTACAAACGATGCTCAGTATAGTGACATCTCGTGTCATGACGAAAAAGGATGTTCTAACGATTGGTCTGTATAGTGAAAGTGGACTCAATATACTCTCAAAATTTGAGAACTTTCTGCACCGGTAATTAGAATGGTATAATAGCTATAATGTGCTGTCATCATAAAGAAAGCTGATTGTATTTCTAAGTTATTAAATATGTATTCAAATGAAGATGAATTAGCCACTTATGCTCGCTTAAAAGCACAGTATCTTCTAATATTGTTGCAAAACATTTGTTGGCGATTTTGAAGAATTTGTTAACGAATATGCCTAAGGAAATAGGCTGATTGGTTAACAGACGCAGACGAAGATATGAAAATATTACTTACGTTCTTTACTCTGGAAGGAAGTTTACAGAGCATCAGTTGCTTCACAACTTCTGGCACAATCATTCGCTTCCATCGAGCAAATGCTATCAGGAATTTCATATAATCGTAGATGTTAAGCACTATCTTAGTCCTAAAAAAGCATAAAACTTAATTATAACTCTGTGGTAATATTTACAATAGCATCTAAAGTTAGGATTACGTTTGAAAAATATTTCGTTTGAAAGTGAATATGTAATTCATTATTAACTAATAGGGTAAAAATTCTGGTCATTTGCATTTTTGTATATAAATTTATGTACAAAAATATTGAATTTAATAGTCTTGAATTATATTTAGAGTCTGTGCTATTGAAATTGGTTAACCATTTAAGACATTGCTGTAACTGTATTTACATATTTGTTTGCACACATATTTGTTTCAATCTAGATAAGGAAAGAAAATTAATACGAACCCTGCTACTGCTTGAAACAATTCACTTGCAACAGCCAGACTATGGGAATCCGAAGCCAACCCGGCTTTTCTCAGCCAGTAATTGCTGTTAGATTTCGTTATGACTGCTCCAGATCTAAGGTGTCCTCCAAGCAAAGAAAATGAACGAAACGCATTTTTAAAAAAAGAAGTTACGATTTTTCTTATATTAATTCGTTTTAAAGCTGTTCTTGATTTTTTCCTTCTGCAGGTTCTTATAATTAATTTCTTTCTTTGTAAGTTTGATGGGGAAAGTGGGTCACTAGTACTTCCAGCGTCATGTTTTCTACTTCTCATACCAAATTGATTCTGCTTGGATTTCCCGTGTGTTCGAATTTTGCAACATTCGTCATTTTTTAAATGCAAATCGCAGTAAGGAAAACCACTGCTGTATTTCCATTCTTCATTAGAAGCACAAGGCAAGACATTTGCATTACTCTTGCATTCAGTTTTGAGTAAATTATGTGTACCGCTAGATGTATGTATGGGTATTATATTCTGTGAAGCTAATTCTTCAGCCCTTAGCGTTTTGATAACTTTTCGTGGATTGATAAGCACGCAAATAGGATTTTTTCCGGTGTACGTCCTAGAGCTCTGCAACAACTTCTCGAAAATTGTGCACTGACTGATACAACTTTCATTTTCAATAATAGCTTGCATTGAATGAATTGCATACAACAATATTTCTGTACTTTTACCAGTATTTCCTTCAGCGTATTTCAAAAGAACTGGTTTGTCCATAGAAAACCAATCAGACTTGGAGAAATGAGCATGAGTATTATTTGGGTTCTTGAAGGAATTGATTTCAAATCGTGTAGGTTGAATTATATTGCTTTTGCATCGGCTGATAATTTTTTTTGGATTACGTGGGAATTTGTTTTCATCTTTCAATTGTTTGTCATTTGTTTCAGAATGTTTTTGAGTAGTAGTTCTTGTTTCTGTTCCATTCATGGAAGCAGGATTGCTGTGATTACAGACTATTTCGTTTTCTTGTTTGCTGATCAGTTTACTACTATTAATTCCTTTTATTGATTTCTTATTCAATTTAAAATATTTATTATTTAAGGTCTTTGACAAAATTGTAAGTTCATTTCCTGATCTTCTCTTACCTCCATTTAAATTCGTTTCTTTTTTCAATTCAGCCGTCTCACGTTTAATAGGTAAAGTAAGTTCGGAGTTTGTTCTTCCAATGCCTGAAATTAGGTCTTCATTCTTTTGAATTCTGATTGGTCCTTTCTCTCTTATAGTACTTAATCTTCTGACTTTTAGATTTTGGTCTTGATTACTTCTTGTGTATACACTCACGCTTTTGATGTGTTCTTCTTGGCTATTTTTTGTACGTTCTTCTTGATCTAATTCTAAGCCATATTCTCTTTGGCAGTTCTGCATATAACCGAGTTTACATAGTTGCATTAGATTTAAATTTTGCTCGTTACTCTTTGTACGCTCAAATTCTAAATTTTGAGAATAAGGCTTAATAAGGCTTTTAAGCATAATAGGCACTTCATAGATGTTTAAAAATTTACTTCTGGTAATTGATTCTGAAATGTCTTTGTCTAAAATTGCTCTTATATCGAAAGTGGAACCTCGTGAACAGAACCGTCGGTTTTGTTTCACATTAACTTTTGATGCTGCCATTTTTTTGCTTATATCGTATGTTTCCCATGCCAGTTTTATAGAAGGAAGAGAGAGGAGTGTAGAATCAGATTTCATTTTAGACATTCTTTGAAAAATTTGTTCTATAAACTCAGAAGGTAAAGTATTTATATAATTTAACATACTTAGGCATAATGAATTTTTGTTGTCATCAAAAGTATTAATATTTTGAAAAAATGCATCAAAAGACTTATTTCCATCTCTCCCCATATTAGTTAATGTCAAATAAGTCATTTGATTTATCCAGTTCCTAAATATATTCAATTCAAACGTACATTTGTAGAGTATAGAATGAGAGATCCTTTCTCTATTCAAGTAAGAGATGCACTGTGATGAAGAGTTAAAAGAAATAATGCAGTTTTTGGAAGATTCAGCTGCCTGATTTCGTTGATAAGAAATAGACTTTAAATTTGCCTCGAATTCTAATTCATTAAATTGCCTATCAACTATATCTGGTGCAACTTCTGAATTCGTGTGAAGTTCTAAAATATGTTCAGAAAGCAAATTTTGTGAATCAGGTTCCAATAGTGGATTGCTTTCTGAGCTATTATCATCATTCCATGCTGAGTTATTTTCTAAAATCACTGGTGAAATAGAGGCAGATATATTTGGTTCATTATTTTCCGAAAATGAATCTGGACATTTTTCTTTTTCGTCTGTCACTGCGTCAAAATCAGCAGGGTTTCTGATGGAACTTGTAGAAAGAGGCCAGTACTTTCTCATAGCTCTCGGTACGAGAGAGGGAATATGAGATAAATTCATGTCAGGATTTTCTTTTTCCAACATTGGATTTCCACATTTTTCACAATTCTTAGATCTCTCAATGTCAGATGACATATTTTCGCTTATTTATTAGCGAAACAGACTTTTATATTTTACATCTAAATATGTCTTGAAATTTAACGGTTCGGAACTGTTAATGTTTTCTTTTTATTCATTTGTATACCTGCACAGAAAAAATATCACTTAATTAAAATGACAGAAATGGAACAGTAATCACATTCAATATAAATAGAAGAGTAAAGAAAGAAAACCTTCTTCAGACCGATTTAAAACAAATATGAAATGGAAATCTATAATATGAAAGGAATTTGAAACGAGTTTATGCTATGAAAAAACAGGAATTTTAAAATACGAAATGAATTTATTTTAGGATAATTATTTATAGTCTTAAAACATGATATTTACAATTTACAGAACTTATTTAAAATGTTTGTTAAAAACTATTGTTTTTTAAAAATCTAAAATTATTTTCTTTACAGTAATATTAATAATAAAATTATATTATCTTGAGACGAAACACATCATAGTTTAAGGTAGCGATCGATCGAAAGACATAGCATTACCATATGTATAATATATACGATTTTGTTTCTAAGTTGCATGATCATAGAAAAAATGAAATAATACTAAGCAGTAAAATTGCAAGAGCTTCCTTTTCGATCATTCTGCAATTCGTAAATTTCCCGCTAAATGATCATAATGATATTAGCACATGCAAAATAAAACTATAAAACATGCATATGAAAGTTTTTGTGTTTTACGAACTTACTCAGAGTCAGAATACACACTAATATCTGATACGAAATCTTTTATATTGACTTGGATCAGAACTTAATGCATTTTTAAATACTATGAGCAACGATTAATAATTTTAGGAAAGGTATATACATTGATTAAAATTCTAATAAAAAGAATTAATTAGAATTCTAATAAAAAGAATTAATTTCAATAAAAAATAGTAGTGTAGAATCCTAAATTCAAGTTTTCCTGCGTCAGGAACCATATTTATTCTATGCGAGTGCACGTTTCGCAACTCGAAAGGAAAGAATAAGCTTAATACAAGTTATATATTATAATTACAGGAAAACCTTTAAAGTAAAAATGAATATTATGATAAAATTTAAGTAATTTATTTCTTGAATAACAAATTATTTTGGAGAACAATTATTGAAAAACTAAAGCAATTTTTTGTTTTCAGAGAACTATGTTTTGGCGTAATAAAAAGAAAAATCTATTTAGTAGTGTATCTCGTGTGTTGCTAAAATGTCATGTACATGTATTAAAATGATAGTCTAAAACTGAAATGCTATATAAGAAGTCTAGAATTGATTTAAAGAACAGCATGCAAATATTGCGAATAGAACTATCGTTAATTTCAGTGCAGCAGAAATGGAATCTTAAATTCTAAAATTAAGAAATCCCGAAACTGTTCGATCTATTTCATCATTGGAAAGCAAAGAATAAAAAACAAATATTATATTGTAACAGAACTATTTAGCCGTAACCGAACTATATTTTAGTGAACGCCATCTAGTGGCGAAATGGAACAATATAAGGCTCTAGCTGTTGATCCACACAAGTATGCCATCACAACTGTTAAGCAAGTACAATCGTTCGTACAAATTTGTTCCTGGTATTGTCGATATATTCCAAATTGTTTTCCAATAGCCAAATCGTTAACGGCTTTAACATAAAAAAGCACTGTGGAATTGGGAAGTAAAATAAGAAAAGGCTTTCCAGGAGCTGAAATCAAAATTAATAAGCCCACTGACTCTTAAGCAAGCTTATCGAACGAAGCCGTTTATCATTCGGATAGATGCTAGCAATGTTGCCATTGGAGCAGTGTTGCTACAAGGGAAGAAATATAAAGAATACCTATAATATGTCAGACGCTTGCTCTCCTTATCAGAATGAAACTACTCCACCATAGAAAAAGCAGCCCTAGCAGTAGTATGGGCACTAAAATAAATTTAGAGTGTATGTCGAAAGTCAGTCTATCACAATCACCTCTCACCACCAACCATTGAAGTGGCTGATGTCTTCAAAGTCACTAACTGGTAGGCCTCACAATATGGGTATTACAATTTCAATTTCACAGTCTGACTATCAGTTACATTCCTGAACGATTGAACTTTATTGCTGATATAGTATCTCTTCTTACTTGTGTACACTTAAGTACAGATTCTTCTCAAGTCTGTGCTGTCTCTGACGAAATCCGTACTATTAACCCTGAAGAATTACGCCAATCACAACTAAAAGATGATGATTTTCGGAAGATCATTGAAACTTTTGAGAGTCCAGAGAAAGAAATAGACTATGAAAATTAGGTTGGAAGAGAATATATTATGAACAGAGTAGTGTTGTACCAATATTCCCCTGATTCGGAAGACGAAGCTCAACTAATTATACCTCAACAAAGAAAAGCAATCTTGAAAGATTCATGATTCATGATTCAAATCATGATTCGCCAACGGCCGGTCACTATGGATCTGAAGAGATGTTTTATCGAATAGCAAAAAGATACTATTGGGTTGGAATGAGAAAGGATATAGCAGACCATGTTTAAAGCTCTCTCTGCTGTCGTTATAAAATATTCTAATCAAAAGCCATCTGACTTACTCCAAACTCCTGTATATGCTCAACGTTTTAAAACCTCGTCAATTTATCGTTTTGGTCCATTTCCTGAAACACCATCTGGTGAAAAATGGATTTTCATTGTGCAAGACTGTGCCACAAAGTGGACAAAACTATTTGCTTTAAAGGAAGCAACGGCCAGAGAATGTGCCACTACTCCTTTGGAAAAAGTCGCCCTTCGATTTGGGTTACCCAGAAAAATGGTAAGTAATAATGGTGTCAAATTTACTAGTGCTGTTATGCAACAACTATGCTATATTTTGAACGTTGATCAAAGTTTTACTTCTGTCTATCACTCACAATCTAACCCAGTTGAAAGAAGGAATACTATGTAACCTGGTTCAGTAATACTTATTGGTAATGACCATCAGTGATGGAAGGATAAACTGCCATTAATAAGGTTTGCTTTAAATACAGCCAAATGTGATTTAACTGGAAATTCTGCTGAATTTCTTCATTATGCACGAGGGTTACAATCTTAGATAATGTAAAACATAATAGAAAAGTCGTAATTGAGAACGGTAATTTTATTCCCGAAATTACTTCGTATTTGAAACGTTTTGCAAAACATGTACAACAGATACGAGAAAGAATCGAATTACATCAAGATAAGCAGAAACGATATGCTGATGAGTAACGAAGAGAGACTCCGAAATTTGTTCCTGGAGATAAAGTTTGGGGTACAATCAGGAAAATTCGACTAAAGAAAACTGCTAAATTCATGCCTAAGGCGAGATGGTCCTTATTTGATAGTGACTACAAGATCTCCAACTACTTAGGATATTGCCGATCCTAACGAACCAGACAAAATTCTTGGCAAATATCATGCTTCAGCCTTGAAACCATATCAAGATCGCAATAAGCTTCAGACTTCAGCTCATGTAACTCCACTGGTTCCCTTTGTAACGTCAGAACACCCGTGTTGGATGCAAGAAAAGACAGGTTGTCTTTTAAAATATTTATTTTAAAAACTTAATCAGAAATTCTTGATTAAATAGTAAAATAACTGAATCATTACAGCCATAAATTAAACAAAAGCCCCTGGTCCGATGAAGACACCAAAATGCGCCCGCTTCCTCTCGTTTACAGCATCAAAAACTGTTACACAAAGCTCTCTCTTCGTTTTGTTAAGAAACCTGGACAGAGAATAATTAGTCCCTTATTGCCGGAAACCACAGGAGGGGGTTTCCGCTGCACATTTCTTCAAAGTTCTGCTGTCCATTTTGTCTCTGAACAAAACAGGAAGTTCTCATTAAGCACCTGGAAGTACGAGGGGTGTATATGTCTAATCGTCACACATTAAAGAAAAGGAGGACTCCCAAAAGTGTACTACCAAGCGAATCTGTTGCAAAAGATGCTTCTGAATCTAAAGCAAAACCGAGCCAGTCAAACCCGAACACGTTCATCTTGTTCTCCACCCACTGCACAAAGTAGACAAATATCAGTTCCTGACTTCTTGCCGAGACGTCTGCGAACTCAGAGAAGGATAATGTAACCGAACTATTTTAATGAACGCCATCTAGTGGCGAAATGGAATAATCTAAGATAGTCGACCTCCAGCCGCGATGACGTTAACTTGCACTGTGTTAGATGTCTCTATAATTCGAATGTTTAATGTTCCGTTTGGTTTATGTTTTATTTTTATGTATATTTTCTTTGTACCTATTCCTGCGTGCTCTGTTAATAAATACTTTTACAACTAGCCGGCGTTTGTGTTTATTGAGGAACGGCTACAATATGAAGTTTAATACGCAACAATATGAAGTTACATGAAGTTTTATATTGCAACAAGATTTAATTTGCTGTTCAGCAAACAACAAGCACATCGCTCTCGTTAAAGTGTGATTTTCTTTCATTCATTTTTGTATACTTAAAACAAATTCTAAAACAACTTCATTTCATGTGTAAATTGTTTACCAAGGAAATAAATTTTATTTATGGGAAAGTATTTATTTTTATATCTTTATTTTACATTTAATATCTGGGATCGGGAAAAAATCTCAATGACGAAAAAGGGTCATGAATGAAAAAGGTTTAAGAACTGCTAGCATACAGGGATGATAATACATTTTAAGTAAAAAAATAACTAGGCACGAAGGACTGTGCTGAATGCCCAGATAAATAATAACGTTTAATTAAGCGTTATTGAACCAGAGTTCGATCAAAATTATAATCGAATAAATTTGAAATGTAATGCGTAACAAACACAATTAGATGAAAAAATGCGAACAATGTTTATTCAGTTTCACCTCTGTTAAATTTTGGTTTGTTACGGTAAACGAAATCTAAAGCCTTTGCCTTACAAAGCTTAAATTTTTGTCAAGAAACAGAAATTTATAAATTTTTAATTAGCTTAGTCTTTGACTCATCTTTCTTCATTTTCTTTGCTTGAAATTTTAATTAACAGTACTTCTAAGAAAATCGTTAGAGGTTATAACTAAGAGGTAAGAATTGTAATTT